TGACTCGCGAAATGTGTTCATTATTTTTTCATGCATATCAAACAGATGCGAAACCATTTCCATTATCTGATGTTTATTTTACAGGATTATTAGCAGAAATGTTTAATATACAAAGATTAACTATTTTTCCTAATGTTGATTATCTTTATGAAGAAAAATGTAATGAAAAATTTTTTAATTCGGCAAAGAATCCCTTTGCTTGTGCTGCTTCAAATGATCATTTTAATGAAAAAAATTCCGATGGAGATCGAAGTTTAATGAATGATTACAATTTATTTTGGACGAAATTAATAGAGCAATACGATTCATTAAAAACTAAAAATCGAAAATAAAATCATTTTGTGTACAAAAAAGAAAAGTTGTACTTTTTATTTTTCTTCATTAAAATAATAGATATAATTGATAGTTAATCAATGTGTGTTGTCCACACATAAATAAATCATTTGTGTAGAGGAATTTATTTCTACAGGCAAAATTTTGTGTTATCAAATACAATGAAATGAATTTTTTGTTGGAAAGTTGTTTTTATTGTCATCAATTTTAGTCATATGAGAATGAAGAAAAGAAGATAACATTTTTATGATTTCGAAATACAATTTTAAAGTCATATTTCACTTGAGAATAGTTTTGACTTCATATTACTTCTACATCTGTCTCTCTTATTTGTAGACTATCTTAGACGTTGTAAGTCATAAAAAAGAACTAAAAGATATGTAGTGATTTTAGTTTGAAATCGATTCATAGTTTTGAAAAAATAAAGTATATATTATATAGTAGAGATCGTTTTGTCTAACGAGTTTGATGAATTATAGTAAATGTTGTAGGAAAATTGAAGACTACAATTCTTTAACCTTGTTTTCTTTGTGTTTTTGGCATTGACTCTAATATCCTGTACTGACAGAAGTTCCGTCTACAATTTCTTTCGATTATATTTCTCTGTGTTAACTATATTATAATTGATATTTAATGTAGACCTACTTTTTTAAATATTACCTTTGAACTAATTATTATTATTTTATTAACTGGGCCATTCTTAGAATAACTGCTATTCCATGAAAATCTTCCAAGATAATTGATCGGAAGAGGAAGACCCTACAATAGCACAGTGTTTTTTCTCTAACCGAAAACAATGAAGCAAGACATGTATCGAGATATGAATATTCAATTTGTAATGTTACCCTTTCTGTCGATTCATATTTATCACACCGTACTAAACTTTTGTAGAGTTTAGTTTTTTACGCCTTAATTAGTTCAATTTTTCTATGTAAAACAATAGAATATATATTGAATAAGATATCATGTTTGTTAGTTTTCTACTAATATCTCTTACTATTTTAATATTTTTAGTAAATTGACGATAATCTTGTCATTAAACTGGGGCAATTTCTTAATAATAGCATATGAAAAACAACGTATTATGATTTATTAGTTCTGTTATTGATTTCGTATTATTTTATTAATTGCTTTTCTAAACACATTAATCTTAAATATTGTAATGACGTCTATCTATTTCGTAATATAGATCAAAGTATTAAAACTTCCATTTAAATCTCTTTTTAATTCTATTTATTCAAGGTTTTTCAGTTAATCGATTTGAAAGGATATCAATGTCATGAAATATTAGAAAAAAACGTATGAATATAAGATAGTATCCATTAAAGAAAATGTCCGTAAGATTCAAAGAATTTCAAGAGTATTGAAATATTTCTATTATAAAATTTCATGAATATTAAGATTGTTTTGATATATTTTCTGTGGTTATATGGTCATGGTAGTGACGTGTGTTGTAAATGTTATTTTTCTATTTATAAATTGTTAATTAATATAATGAGTAAAAACGTATTTCTTTTTTTTTTCTTCGATGTTAACAAAAAAATAAAATAGTATTTAAAAAAAACTATTGTTCTGTAAATTCAAGGTTAAATAGAAAAATTTTACTAATGGCTTTATTTTTCTTTTTTTTTCAACAATTATTTTTATCAAGTTTCTTTGTTTACTTTACGTGAATAGCGTGAGCATTCATATATGTATGTAATTTAACGACTCCTTGTTTTTGGAGAAAAAATCCAATGAGGATCGAATATTTCTTTCTTCTACAAAGATTAAGATTTATTTACTGATAAGAAAAATAATAAATATATCAAACTATCATGTAAAATATTTTTTGATTTTATTTAAGTCAATAACAAAATGTTATTCTATCTTGCAGTTTCTGATATATTATCACGAAGTTAAATACCTATAAAGGAGATTCATTTTTTCACGTAGAAATCCAAGATTATAGAAATATCTATAAAATCTAATCTTTACGATTATTTTATTGTCTAAGATTTTTGTGTTTTAATATACGAATGAATAATTTAATAATTAATTGTATAGATTTATTTCTCGATATAAATAAATGTTTGTTTGAAAAAATGTTTTTCCCCACATTTACCTAATCAAGTCTAAATAAGAAATTGAATGCTATGAATAGAAAAGCCCAGAATTAACGAAAGAAGACTTATGCACTAAAAAACGAAGAACAAAACAAATATCACAAAGGTAAATGAATGTAGAACCAATGTTCGAGATTCATTAGATAAAAAAAAGAAAAAGAAAAAAAAGTTTTATTTTTTTGTTTGCCAATTTTTGATTTGAACTACTAATTATTTAAATCAACTTCCTGATTAAATGACCATTTTTGACCTGGTGCATATGTATCACATGGTGCTACAAAAAAAAATATTTTTATAGAAAAAAAAAAAAAACAAAATGAAAATATATTTTACCAAGAATAACATCAGCATTGCTTAATGCTTGTAAACAATATCTATCATAAAATTGATTTTTTAATTGAAGTGTCTAAATAAAAAATAATAAATTATTTTTTTTTTCTTTCTTTCTAATAAAACCTTTTCATCATATTCCCAATTTTGTTCAAATTTATCATCTTGACACATTGTAAAAATAATTTTCCTATTCGTTGTTTTTTCATCACTTGGTTCCAAACATAATTCATCAAAATAGATTTTATTTGTTGTTGTATATAAAAATATCTATTTAAAAATTATTATTTTAATAAAGAAATTTTATTTCTATCATACTTGATTTCCACCATCGGAATGACAAGCTTGAGCTAAAACTGGTGTATTAACACCTTTGGATATATCTGGACCCATCATTGAATCTAAACAACGACGATTTGTTGTTGAAATCTATACGAAAAAAAATATTTTATTTTATTTAAAGATTAAAAAGTTAACATACTGATCCAATATATCGATGATTAAATGGAAAATTTTTTAATTTAAACATTTGTAAATAACTTTTAAATGATGAACAATTTAATCTTTCTCTCAGTTCTAATCTATCTGAAACATCTCCACCATCCAGATTTTTAATATCAGGATTAACAGCATAAATTAAATGTTTATATTCATCTAACCAAACAGCAGCAACACGTTTATAATTTTTAAATATTGTAACAAATATTGATTCATGTTCAAGAAATTTATATGGAGTTTCTTTACGAAAAACATGTGCAACATGTGAACACGGATGAATTAATATTCTTCCACCACACATCCAACATTTAAATGACATTTCACTTTAAGAAAAAGAAATGGGATTGTTATTTTATTATTTAATTTTCTTACAGATTTTCTCCACCCCAAATTTTAATTCCTTCATCATACATTCCTAATTCTTCAAAATAAAGACGATCGATTGCATAAAGTCCACCAGCCATTGTTGGTGTACTAAAATAGATTGAAATAAAAAAAAGATTTAAAAATCAAATGAATTTTTACCGAATTGGTAATGAAAAATCTTTATTTGCTGAACCTTGAATTTTCGACCAACGAAATATCATTTTCCAACTAAATGTTCCAAATATATCTGTTGCACCATGTAATAATTCAAATGCATTCCATGTTAATACATCAATTATTGGACATACAATAGATTTTCTAGAAATATTAACATAATATAAATAATTTTACAAAGAAAATCAAAATTTCTAACGGATCTTTTTGTATTTCTTCAAGTAAATATAAGAGCCATCCATGAAGAACTTCGACATGAGAATCAAGAAACATTAATGTTTCTCCTGTTGCAACTTTTGCCGCTAAATAAAAAAAACTAATAATTTTAATAATAATTTTAATAAAACTTTTCATACCTTTAACTCTTGATCCAATTAAACCTAAACGTTTTTCATTTTTAAGAAGAATTGTTTTAACTGGAAGTGTTTCAATAAATCTTTGTAATGGTTCATGAAGATATTCTAAACAAAAATTTTATATTTTAATTAATTAAATTTAAAAAAAAAAGAAGAAGTTAACCTCGATCAACACTTGCGTCATCAAGTAAAATAATTTCATGAATTAATCTCCATGGTGTTCGATTAATAATACTAACAAGTGTTCTTAATAATGTTGAATTTCCTTCATTATGAAAAACAATAATAATCGATGTATTTGGTAGATTATTATTAAATGCTGCATGAGCTTTACATCTAAATAATTTCAATTCATTTTTTTCAAATAAATAAAAATAAAAAGATTTTCTTACTGATCATTTCTTATATCTGGCATTGCACGATTTAATGCAATTTTATCACTAACAGCAATATCAAACATATTTTCTGGAAATCGACGTTTAGATTCTTCTTCAAGATTCGCCGGTGGAAGAAAAGGTGTACCCATTTCTCCTGGCCAATTTGATGGATTTGCACTTTTTATTGAAGCTAAAAATTTTGAAATTTTATTAATTAAAAAATAAAAATTTAATTCTTTTCTTACATGCAGCAGGAATTCGATAGCCTTGATCACATTTTCCATATCTATCACATGCTTTATCTTCATATATATCGGTATATTCTATTGTTGGAAGGCTTCTACTTGAGATTTTATGTGTAGATTTTATTGGTTCATTTTCTGTTTTTAAAATTAAAACATATAGATTTTCAAAAGAAATAATTCAATTAAAATATCAAACTTGATGGATGATCATATGTATCTTCAGGACGATATGTATCTGGACAAAAACGAGTTAATGCATGACCAACACCACAGACAGCATCTAATTGAAAATTTATTTTTTCATAGTTTTTATTTTTCGTTTGCAATTAAAAGTTTTTACTTTGAATAATTTTATTTTGTGGACAACTTATGGATGAAAAATATTGATTTGCTATAAATATACTAATACCCGTAATAATTGACCATGCTATTGATGTTATTACAATAGTTTGAAATGTATGATTTGAAAAAAAACTTGATTCAAATCGATATGAAGATAATGATTCTCTTGTTGATTGTCCCGGTGATTGATTACCTGTGCCTGGTCTTCGTCTCATTGTAGTTATGTAGTAACTTAGATATTATTTCGAGAATATCATAATGAATATATTTATAATACAATGCAGTGAAGCGAGAAAAAGAAAAGGAAGAATGTCTCTGAAAATTACTCACATTCTTATTTTTGAAAAACTTGTACCAATCAAACTATTACAGAGAATTAAAACTTAATTTATTGTGCTACAGCGCCATCTTTTTATTCCATTCATAATTGAAATTTTACAATTAATAATATCTACATCTATATTATGATTAGACTCAAAGGCGTCTCTCATTCTATTATAAACTAAAACTAGTAAGATGATACAATCGTTGTACTATCATTCTATGAGATGTACAAAGATATCAATGCAAAAAATGATCTATATTTAAAACTTTAATTGAATAACTAGAAATTGAATTATGTCATTATTTTATATTGATACAATTTTCTAAATAGAATGAACAACATACTTTATTTTTCATCTATTTAAACCAGAAGCGTACAGAGCTACTAAGAACAGAGGGAAAGAAATAGTGAGCTATAATATTGATTTAGTATATATTTCTTCTTGAGAGTCAATTCGGAAAAATATCATTATGTTAAACAGTTTGTTGTCGTCATGAAAAAATATAATAATATATTGAAGATTGATTTGTTATTCAACTGAAAAATCTCTCACACTTTCATAAATATATCTATTTTTACGTGATATAATAATAGAAAACCTTGATCAGAAAACAATCTATTTAATAATCTGTTGATCAAGATAATTTTTGTATAATGATTTGAAATGAATATTATTCTTTTGTAAAATAAGAAAATCTCTCAAGGTTGTCATATGAGAACATCAACTAATTATCCACTCTTTTTTCTTTTAATACTATTATACAAAAAACGTTTTATATTATTATGAACATTAAAAATATCATTGCAAAATCTTGTTGATTTTCTTACACATTTTTTTTATAATTATAATTAACTTGTATTTTTAAATTACATAAAAAAGGCATTAATATAAAACTTTAAAAATTATTAATCACTAATGATGTTTTTGATAATTTAAGAAGACAAGACATGGATGATTGATCAAGCTGTTTCTTCAGAAGAAATATTGAATAGGTTCTCACCGTTTTACTAAGACGGAGTTGCTGTTCGATTAGTCTGTTTTTAAACAAGAAATCACTTATTTCTATGTTGTATAAATTGAAACAAAATTATCATTGATTGATACGTAATGAACGAGAAGTTTGATGTATTAATATTTTATATCTAATCTTTTGTATTCACATGAATATGAAACATTTGAAGCTGTATATTTTATAAATAATCATAAAAGTTTTTTCGATAAACAAGTATTCATCAGTATCATCGTCAGTTTTATTTTATTCATCGATTTCTATAAATAATAAATCGCTTCTTTCATCACATATTATTTGAAACATGTTATCTTTTCCCACTCGGTATATCAAAATAATCGAACTTACAGCTGTACCATACTTGCAATTTTATTTATCATCCTTGACAATATCGTATGCACGAACAATTTTAATTAAATATTTCATCAACATCAAATGATGAACAGTCTTGAATAATAGCAATAATATGTTTGGTTAATGATAATTGAGTATAAGTGAAAACGATTCTGAATATTTCAAAAAAAATTTTACATTATAATTTTAAACATTATTTGTGTTCAGTATAAGGTAACAAAAGAAAATAATTAATAATTTAATTTTCTTTTCTTATGGTCAAGTTTCACGTGCTATTTTAGATTTAGTACAATAAGTCAGACTCAAACACCTTTCAATTCAAAGCTATATCTATGGCTGATAAAGAAAAAGGATACACTAAGGTAAAAGCATTTAACGATTATACAAAAAAACACATGAATCACGTGTATGAATATTAATATAATCTAAAAGTAATATTATTATTCAATACATCAATGTAATATATTTTATCTTCAAAGAAATAAATGATGAACTTGACAATTTATTTAAATATAATAATAATACCATTCAAATATACTTTTTCACTTCATTTCATTTATTTGTTGGGTGTGGGTGTGAATTTAGTAACTTACTCACATCTACACTCAAACCGCACCCACTCACACTCATCCTCAAGATATGGCGCATTCGATATGCATTTGAACAGTATTATCGATAACGGTGTTTTCTTACCTTGCTGAAATATTAAAATCATGAGGGTGTAGGTGTGAGTATTCTATTCAATTATCACGCTCACACCCACACTCACCCACTCTCGAGATATCGATATCTCGTATCTTACTGTTTTATTAATGGAAATGATTGATAGTATATCAATTGCAGTTCCTCTTGTATTTAGATATTAGTTATTTTTTCTGTATCTTTATTCAAAAAAGAATCTTGATGGAACATATCCATCTGTACTCAGAGTTTCAATTTCTTTCGTTTTTAATTCGCGTGAATAAAATCGTAGCTCATCTATTCCAATCACACTTTGATTTGATAGAATTTCAGGTTGCTCAATAATGCACATTGATGAGTAGAAAGCGTCGTTTTTTGACTGACGTCTTGGATTACCAACAGTTAATGTTAAACGTTGTTGATTGATTGTTCCAAAATTAATTGTATTTTCACCAATCAACGAAGCAACAAGTTTTCCGTTAACGAATAAACTAGAACTGTTCTTTTTGGACACAAATGCCACATGAAACCAGGTAGAAAAAGTGATCAATGTGCTCGATATGATCATTTTCGAAGTTCCAGATCCATAAATGTAAACTGATACTTGTAATTTGTTCTTATCTGAAAAACAGAATAGATTTTAGTGTTCTGAATGATGTTAATAAAATGGTCGTTTGTACCTGTTCCATTTATAGTCAACAGGATTAAACAAATACTGTTGTTATTTTCAAGTGAAGCACGTTCAGGTCTTGCCACTAGATGTATCACTGGCATAAATGTAGAAAAATTGAATACATTAATCCAAAATGTATACGAATAGGAATAATTATGTGTTGAAAGAAGGATAAAACCACCGGATTGAAAGTAAGACTCAACAGAATTATACAACAATAAAGTACCTTGGTCATCATGTCGATTGCCAGTCTGATGAGAAACATATGCAAATTGTGCACGAATACTATTTACACCAGTATCTTCAAATTGAGAATCATTTGCTATATTATCACTTTCGAAATTATAATTTACAACAAGTGTTGCTTCATCTAGTATATCGATATAATTTTTTATACGAAATACAATAGATAATTGATCAACTATTCCATTATATTGCTCAATACCATCATGACTGCCAATATTTGTTTGTAATATTGAAAAATTTCCATATTCAGGTTTAGCAATTCCACCAACTGAACTGAAAATTCCATCAATATGAATAGCCATTGTTAAATCTAATGGAGAAAATGCAAATGTCACATATTGCCATTGGAAATTTTTCAATTTAGTAGATGACCAGTGTAGTGTTTTATACACACGTATAACAGCATACTGATCAATAATACAAATAGCTAAATTAGGAGCACTGGCATATGTTTGACTTAGTACGACATATACTTTCGATGCTTCCACGTTAGGATTGAGCCAAACACTAACGGTAAATGTTTTATTGAAAAATATTGGTGAGTGAATCAGTTGAATGTATTGATATGGTTTCGATGAATCAAGTTTCAGGGCTACTCCTTGACCAGAATAATCTGGAGTTATATATGCAGGTAACATTAATTGTCCTTGTTCACTCTAAAGTATCAACTTGAACCTCAATAAATAAGTATGAGAAAAATCTTCATCCGTATTATCGATCATGTTTTTTTGAATACTAGTTTTCTTCAAAAGAATGATTATATAGAGCTTTTTTACAACTCAAATATCGTGATCTCAATTGTTGGTTAAAGTATGTGTGGTTGAAAACTGAGACTTACATTAGGTGGTATCCATGAAGGTAGAACTTCGATTCCATTATATGTTCCTGAGATGTCATCAGTTGCATTTGAACAATCGAATGAATATAGAATATCAACCCATACGCGAAATTTACGATGTACGCAAGCTGAAAAGAGAAGCATCATTCATGGAGGAATTCAAAGACAAAAGAAGACAGATATAGTTTTGCAATGAGAGTGAAATGCTTACGTGCTGTTTGTATTTTAGTGATTGTGATATTTTCTAACAATAATGTTGTTTTATTATATCTACTAGAAGTCTTAGATTCGATATTCAGGATAGACGACGTTGAATTATTGTTTTTGGTGACAACAGATACTGATATAATACTTATAAGTAATAGGATAAATAATATAATTAAGGTTAATGAACTAATTATAACCATGTTACGTTGTTTTAACCGATGACATCGATCTATCGAACCACCGGTCAAAGATATCCACTCACTACTGATATCATACTCATCACTAAAAGAGATCAAATGAATGATTTTCAATAATTAAAAAGCAGCAAAAGTCATAGTTTCTATTTCATAAATAATTTTTCGATAACTACGAACATACCAATGTCAACAAAAAAGTTGAAACGGGTGGTGGGTGTGGACTAAAGAAGAAACATACCCACAGTCTCTTCACTATGTTAAATGTGAGAGCATTTTTCAAAATCGACTAACCGTTGTATATATTCTTCTGTAGTAAATTCTTTCATTTGAACGACAAAGAGATGATCTAGATAGTTGAATGGATTGCTTTTTACTTCCAGATAGGTTCCAGGTATAAGAATCACTTCTTTTTCATCTGGCATTGCTGAATAATCCGATATGGTTTTACCATAAATCGCATCTATGTGAAATAATGTGCTAGTTTCACCTAAAAACATCTTAATAACATTCGGATCGGTGGAAGTCGAATTGACACTCCACCAAATTGTCATATCGTTTGCAACATAATAAGAGCCAACATCACACGAAACAGCACGCCATACAGATACCTTTGTGGATGGTAATTTTTCCAAAGCCGTAAGAAATAGTTTTAAGAAAGCAAACCATGGTTTTAATGCATGTCTATCTTCAGCTCGAAGTCTTTCGTTTAGAGAAGAAAAGAAAGGTGATGACATTGTATAAAGATAGATCGCTGCTGATTCGTCCCACGTTAAAATATTCAAATTATGATTACAGTTTCGTTTAGCGTCTTGAACATATTTTGTAATATTATCTATAAATGGAGCGATTTTTTCGACTGCTTGTTCTAATGGCATCAGTACCAATTCTTGATAACCATATATTGGATTGCGATTTGCAGCTTGAAGTTCAGATATATTGTCATCCACAAACCGATTCAATCTCATATTCACAGGATCTAGTTCCATTTCGCCACCGACTTCCTGTTATAAATATAGTTAATATATCATCGTTAATCGTAAATATTCAAGTTTAGAAGAAGTTAAAACAATTGCTCACATAGTAGAAAAAGTGTAAAATTTGAGATATATGTAAAGAGCATATTTTCCTCTATTCTCGCCCTTCTTATCGTGCTCATAGTTTATTTACACATATATAATAAATTCAATTTTATTAAATCTATAAATGTAAACTGCAATTAATTCATAACAAAACTGCCTATTTTGAGACCTAATTTAACAATCTATATTATAAGATGCAGTTTTTCACACTGCATTGCATGAACATACTTTGGAATAGTTTCTTATAAATTTTATCCTAAAATAAGGGTTTAAAAAATTCGTAAAGTAGGCAGTCTTGTAGAGCTTGACGAACTCAATTGATCCATATAAAAATATCAAAAAGAAAAAAATTTAGTCAACTTTTAATTTAATCTTACGTTATTTTATTTACATGTTTTTTTTTGTTTTATACACTTAGATTTCTGTTTACAAATGTTCATTCTGCAATTGAAAAATAGTTGATAGTATATCGATAATTACTTTTAAAATACATTTTCTTCGAAATCTCTCCCCTCAACGATTCTCTTTTTTTCTTTTTAAATTATGAGAATATATTACTTACCATAGTCAAGTAAAAAATAAAATGCACTGATGTGTGACTATCGGGTGTATTTATTACATACACTATATTAATTTTTTCTCTTAAAACGTGAGAAAATTTTATCGTTCTTTTCTGGTTTTGTCTAATAAAAAGTTTTTTTTACAATAACACTATATAGCAAAGGTAAAATATCAAAAGTATGAAATAAAAATATGAGTCATTGTGGACAACAACATAAGCGATGGAGAATCAAATGGCGATCAGAATGCATTTCATTTTAATAGTAAAATAACTGTTGTATTATCATTTATGAAGAATCTGAACCGATACAACTGTAGATAAACGACATCGCTGTATCTGTACTTTGTGACATATCCTGTTTAATACAGCAATTAGCGTATAAAGTATTGTTAATCACTAGAAGAATCTGTTATAAGAGCGATCACTATTAACTATAATTTACCTTTGCGTATCTTGTGATATTCGACGGCGACCAAAAATCAGAAGAAATGTTGTCCGCAGCTGTCATCATCAAAATAATATATGTATTCTCAGTCGAATCTTCAAAACGGATTATTTTCTATATTCATTTCTATATGAGTTCAATTATAGCGGGTGTGGGTGTATAAAGAAAACTCATGGAGATGGATAAACACTAAAAACTTTGTTTCAACGAGTTTTTCTTGATGTAAACAGGTTTTCTTCCGTTTCATGGACGAATTTGATCGTTTGACGCGCTTTCACTAATTATCTATATATAAGTAGAAGTAATGAATAACTTCATGCTATAACTCGCTTATTTTTCACTTTTGTAATGAAAATGCGTTTTTTTCCATAATCTTTGGTGACGAATAAAGGATGGGGGTGAATCATTAACTTAATATTCACACTCACACTCATCAATATCCACCCTCTCACATCCTTAAATGACTGTAGTAGTAATAGCTGATCTATGCTGCATAATCAAGACACTATTTGGACAAAAATTTAACATTCCATTGAAAAACTTTGCTAATTGTGCAACTTTGTCACTGGTATCGAGTGATAGTCAAGAAACGAATGGCAATGACATTAGAATAAACTGATATTTTGTTTCATCACACTATTTATCTAAATATGTAGAAAAAGATGATCAAGACAGATCCCAAATGTATAGAAATAATTATTACATGTTGATTTATATAACTTGATTTTTACTGAATACGAATAAAAATAAATATATAACGTCAATGATTGAATTTAATGTGATAATCTCTCTTATGCATCGCGTTATTCATGTCATAACAAACAATATCGATAAAGAAGGGCAAAATAGTAAACAAATTAATTCGTTCTATGGCTTAATGTATAATCGGAAAGGAGATGATATATACCTTTTATTTAACTTACCATACGGAAATAACATCGAAAAATGTGAAACTATAAAATATCAAAGCGTGTTGATGAATCTTAAATGTATTAAAGGATAAGAAAATAAGGATTTTGAGTATGCAAAGGCAACACTTGATAGAACGACGTGAACATTGATACAAAAGAAGAATATTAATACTGGTGCGAGATTTATTTTGTGATTTCCATATCCTTCGCTACAAGTAAAAATAAACTTCGAAAATATTTTAGCATTTTCAAATCGTAATGATATCGATATTTTTCCTTTTAAATAATTAGCACGTTCCCGGAAACAAGATGAACTCTACAGGAAGGAACACTCAGTCACTTATTATATACTTCATCATCATACTATCCTGAATGTGTCCCCATGACAGTTAAAAAAAATACAATCCTCAAAAATAGGTTTTAAATGTTTACATCGTTTTTATGAGTATTATTTTCATCATCGCATCCGTTCAAAACTTATGTATCTTTTTAAAATAATATATCAAAGAAATAATAATAATTATAAACATGTGATGAAAAATGTTTTTATTTTGCTTCTGTTAAACGGAGAAAAAAAAATTTTTTTCATTGACTTTCAAATGTAATATATTTCACTTAATTAAATGCACAACAAATTCTTACTTTACTTTGAATAAAAAAAAACTTCGTAAGTATTAACAGCCAACAATCGTATATATTTATGAAGTTATATAAAAACTGATCAATCTTCTTTTCTTATTTTTTTTGTTTATATGAATAGTCAGTTGTTTTGAATCGAATCTGTTCAGATTATTATGTTAAATGTTTTTTTGTTTAAAATAATTAGTTTTTTTTTCATGACATATAATTAACCTCTTATTTTGCGAACTATCGAACGGAGCATAATAAAAAAAAAATAGAAGCGTCGTCAACATGATGGTGCGATGTCAAGCAACAGTATGCCTTGGAAACTCTTGAGAAAATTAATAAATTGTTTTTACCTCTCATCTTGCTTAAAAGAATGTTTAACGATAGACAAGTTTTCTGTGATTCTAAATGATAATCATGATTTTATTATGGAAAAAAAAGAGTAATGACAAGTTTACTTTGTCAGTATGTTATAGTTTATTTTTAAGAGTAAATATTCTTTGTCTGACTAAAATAATTATGATTCATTAAATCTTACATAAAAGGCAATAGTCATAAGATACATAAACTTGCTGTTGTTTCTCTTCTAACAGAGCGATTATAAAAACAAGAAGAAATCAGGGTCTACACAAAAAAGATATTTTTGTAATTTTCTATGTGCATTCGATTAAACTATACAAAAGTTAGTCAATACTGGATTTTCAATAGTACATAACAATAATCAGCAATTGTTCTTTAGAGATCTACTAAGATTATTCTACGATAAATAAGAGAGAGAATGAGATATTTAAAATGATGAATGTCCTTTTTTAAATGAACTCAATCCAGGCTGAATTTTGTTTGTGTTATGCAAATTTTAATTATCTAAAAAATGTTAAAAAAATATTAGAAAAAAAAATGTTGACGACCAGAACGATATAAAGTTTAGATCGTTGAATAACTAGGAGAAATATGAGTTCGGATTCTTTCTGTATTGTTCATTTCCAGGTAAATAAATTCGAGAATAATTTCATCACCCGGATTCATCGAGTTGAAGTGATACGTAGAAACGATATAGTTCGACCAGGTGTATAAGCTTCATTCTTAATATATCATGAAAATGTCCTTAGTCAAAAACAATAATTGAATGAGAAAGACGTATTTTTTTTTGACGTCCATATGGCATTCTAAAGAGAATTTCTTTTACTTGCACAACTGTGTTTTATATTATAACAATTACTTCAGCTAAATGTATTACGCAAAAGCTTTTTCCTTATTATTATTTTAAAAAAATCATCTGCAAAAATCTTTTTTTTCTATTGTTAACATTTACTTAGAACGTTTATTATTTTTTAGTTTTAATAGAAAAGAGAATATTTTTAACTAAATAAAGTCATTGCATTATATTCTTAGTTGGGAAAAAGTAGAGATGCATATTTTCTTATAAGAATATTTTGTGAATACATACAAACACAAATTA